CACGTCCATCACCCTCCCCTCTGCCTTCTCCCTGCCCTGCCCTGCCCCGCCCCGCCCCCGGGAGCCAGGCAGCAGGTGCCTGGTGAGGGTGATGCTGAGGAGCAGCAGCTCAGAACGCTCCCCATTGGCACACGGAGCTACCAGCACCGAGCCTGGAGACAGCCTGTGCTGTGGTCAGTGACCTCCAACCCCACAGACAGACCCATGTGTCCCCCATTCTGTGCGTGGAAGGAGGTCACTGATACCAGCTGTCTCTGCTCCATGGCCGGGCCTGATCCCTGGCTGGGAGGAGTCCAGCACATTGGGTGCAGACAGCTGTGTCTTGGCTTAGGGATGTTGCTAGTTCCTTGATCTTACTGAGATATGGGACACTGCGCCGGCTGGTAATTAGGAGGATCTGCTGAGTCCATAGACCAGGGATCGGCAACCTTTGGCACCTGGCCTGTCAAAGTAAAGCCGCTGGTGTGCCAGGACAGTTTGTTTACCTGGAGCATCCGCAGGCATGGAACCTCAGCCTGTGCCACTTCCCGCGGCTCCCATTGGCTGGGAAGGGTGAACCGCCGCCAGTGGGAGCTGTGGGGCTCCGTGCCTGCAGACGCTCCAGGTAAACAAACCGTCCAGGCCCACCAGCGGCTTTACCCTGACAGGCCGGGTGCCAAAGGTTGCTGACCCCTTCCATAGACATTGTTACTGAGAACTGGCTGGATTAGGTGTGCTGCAGGGTGGGTGCTGGGATTACCACTTCTTGGAGATGCTGCCAATCTCTCAGAAAGGGCTCGGTCTGCTCCTGGAGATCTTTCACTCCCCACATTGGGCACAGAGTCAAGTGACATGCGCATGTATCCCAAAGATCCGCCCATGAACCTCAATCTTATTTCACAGCACCTCTCCCCTTCCAACCCTGGGGCTGCAGCCTTCCCTCCCTACCCACCTCTATATCTCCAGTTTACCCTGTCCCAGCCTCATTTCAAACCAGCCCCAACTTGCTGCATCCGGCGCTTCTCCAGTCTTGGACCCACAGCTGTGCCAATAAACTTCAGTCCTCATCTGCTGCTTCTGTCTGGGACCCAACACAGCTCCATTGACAGGCCTCAGTCCTGAATGCAGCATCCCCAGTCCTCCAGTCCTAGGTCTGTCCTCACCAGATGGTGCAAAGTGCTGTGCTGTGCGAGGTTTTCCCAGTGTATAAAGGTTCACAAGGATGAGCCGTAGGCTCACTTCACTGTCAGCAGGAGTCATTTGGATCCAAGACCTCTAGGATTTACTGACTTGATCAGTAGCCCCCTTGGCTGCCCATTTACCCTTCCATAGAAAGTTAAAGCATTAAGCCAAGTGTGAGCACAGGGCCATAAATCTTAGTTCTCTGCCACCTCTCTGGTACCTGCGCAGTGATGTTCTGAATCTGTCACACTTGTTCCCAACAGGGCCGGGGAGCGGCAGCCGACTCACTGGGGAATCAGAACTGAGGCTCATCCTCGTCGGTAAGACTGGAGGTGGGAAAAGTGCAACAGGAAACACCATCCTTGGGTGGGAGAAGTTTGAGCCCGTACTGAAGGCAACGCCCGTTACTCAGACATGTAGTGAAGGCAGCAGGATCTGGAATAGAAGGAAGGTTGTGGTTATCGACACGCCTGCTATTTTTGACACTGAGCACTCTGATGAACAAACCACCCATGAGATCTGTCGCTGTGTTGCGCTCTCCTCCCCAGGCCCCCACGCTCTGGTGCTGGTGACCCAGCTGGGCAGTTTCACTGAGGAAGACCAGCGTGCAGTGAGGAGAGTACAAGAGATTTTTGGCCCTGAGGCCATGAAGTACACAATCGTCTTATTCACCCGGAAAGAGGACTTACGGAGTGGAACCCTGGAGGAGTATATCTCCCACTCGGATAACAAACAGCTTCTGCAGCTGATCCAACAGTGTCAGGGCCGATACTGCGCTTTCAACAATAAAGCTACATGGGAGGAACGGGCTGCCCAGGCTGAAAAGCTGATGACTAAGATTGCTCGTATGGTGGAGGAGGAGCATAAAGACCATCTGGTGTGTAAAGCACCCAAGAAGCTTCTAAGAGAAGATGAGACAGATAAAAGTAAAAATAAGTTGGCCAAAGTGGAAGATGAAATGCAAGTGGATAGACAGGAAGGAGGTCAAGAGGAAGAGTACTCATCCAGGGAAACAGGGAAATCCCACAGGAAAAAAACAACACTGCTTAGAGAAGAAAACAAAAGTAGGTTTCATTGTATGCTTGATCCCACTCAGTAGTGTAGATAAGCCCTAAGGAACCTATGTAAGATACGCAACTCTAGCTACATGAATAGCGTAGCTGAAGTCGACATACTTAGATCTACTTACTGTGGTGTCTTCACTGCGGTAAGTCGACAGCTGACACTCTCCCGTCGACTCCGCTTGCGCTCCTCGTTCTGGTGGAGTACCGGAGTCGACGGGAGAGTGCTTGGCAGTCGATTATTCCGATCCGGTGGGTAGTGTAGACAAGCCCACTGTTCCAGGTGCTCAGCACCATCTCAGTGATGACCGGGATTGAGTTGCATCCATTTTGTATTTCTCCTGTGTTTTTATAATCAGTTTATATAGCGTCAATGAAATTAGAGGTGGATGGAAGAGACCTACTAATTCACGTTGCATGTATATATTGGGAAATGTTGGAGGGTTGTTCCCTACTCTGCATTCTCCATTTTTTTTTCAACTTAGTTTTACACAAGTTTTTGATTGGGGCTTTTATCACTTATGAGATTGCTCCATCTGTTAGGAAGGTTTCCTGTTACCTTACATTTTCTTTTGGCTCTGTATTATGCCGTTATTCTTAGTTATAAATCCTTGAGCCACCCAACAAGTCCATCCTTCCAAAACGCCAATCAGTTTTATTGCTGTTCTCTAGAACTCCTGTAACTTACCCTGCCTGGTGATGAAGTGTTGAGATTTGACTGCAATATTCCAAGTGTAATCACTCTCTGAGCCCTAGGGGCTCTCCCCTCTCTGCTCTAGGACGTTACACCTCTGCAGCCCAAAGCCATACTGGCTTTTTCTGCTGACATGTCACATTGCAAACTTACTTCTAAATTGTTCCCCTAACACCCCCACAGACTCTAAAAAGTCATGAAAGGAATTTTGTTGCTCTGTCACCCGACAGACTCCTAAGCATTTGTTTTCCTGTAGCACCTGGAGGTAACATTTTCAAACTTGCTTAGTCTTAAATCCTACATCTGGGCCACTCGGAGACCTGCACCTATCTTAGGCCATGTCTACACTAGAAATGTGACAGTGGCACAGCTGTAGCCGTTCCATGTAGGCACTTCCTACACTGACAGGAGGGGTTCTTCCATCATGGTAGTGAATCCACCTCTCCGAGAGGTGGTCGCTAGGTCAATAGAAGAATCCTTCTGTCGGCTTAGCGCTGTCTACACCGGGGCTTAGGTCAGCTTAACTATCTCTCTCCGGGGTGTGAATTTTTCATGCCCCTGAGCAATGGAGCTGGGTCGACCTAACTTTCTAGTGTAGACCAGCCCAGTATAGAACATTTCATAAGGGTCAGTAAATGAAATTAGCAATTGCTCTTTACCGACATCACATACAGTGAAACCTTTACAAGAGATCAACTTATCAGGTCTTGAAATTACCCCCAAAGTATTCCCAAACGTACTGAATCCAGTTCAACTCCACCAATATTAAACGACTATTTCCATTAAGCAACCAGTTTGTCACACTCTTGAGAGGCTTTTAATTGAAGTGTCCCTCACTTTGACGTCACTTAATTGTAGACATGCCTGTGAGATCGCTTTCACTGACTGCCGAGGTAAATTCATTTCTATTTGGTGGGGAGGAGACAAGGATCTGCACCAATGAAATATAAAGGTGAGATGCTGGAGAAAGAACTATTAGACTGGATGGTCCTACCATTACCCTGACTCTGTACTCCATTACGTGAAACCCCCCAGTGTTTAAGGATTGTGATACGTTCTCCGAAACTCAGGTAGCTCTTTTACGAGCTCCCACCACTTGTCTCCAATATTGCAGCAATCATCATTCATGATCCACTGAATACTCCCCTCATGGAGTCTGCCATCATCCTTCTCAAAACCCCCGCCTGAGATCTCCTCTTTCACTGGCTACTGCCCAATTTCCGCCTTTATTAGCAACATCTCATAAGAGTTTAACTCTTCTCACCTACCTAACAAGCTCTGACCACTCTTAGTCTGGCTTTTCTCCCTCTCCAGGCACCCAGTCAGCAAAGTCCTTAAACACCCAAAGTTCAGCTCTTTCCTGAACTGAGGCCCTTGTACTGAAATTGTTTTAGAGCACACGTGGCCAGTTGTCATACCCAGGCTCACCCTCCTTGCTTGTCCCCTCCTTCCCCCATTTCACCTTCTAGCCTAATTATAAAAATGTAAAAACTAGGGCTCTCAAGCGATTAAAAAATTAATCATGATTAAGCGCGTTGTAAATAATAGATTACATTTATTTAAATATTTTTGGATGTTTTCCACATTTTTCAAATATATTGATTTCAATTACAACACAGAATACAAAGTGTACAGTGCTCACTTTATGTTTATTTTTATTACAAATATTTGCACTGTAAAAAGAAACAAAAGAAATAATATTTCAATTCAACTCATACAAGCACTGTAGTGTAATCTCTTTATCACGAAAGTTGAACTTACAAATGTGGAATTATGCACTCAAAAATAAAACAATGTAAAACTTCAGAGTCTACAAGTCCACTCAGTCCTTTTCTCTTGTTCAGCCAATTGCTCAGACAAACAAGTTTGTTTCAAAAAGATCTCACAAAACTAAGTGATTGGGCAACAAAATGGCAAATGAAATTTAATGTGAATAAATGTAAAGTAATGCACATTGGGAAAAATAACCTCAACTATACATACAATATGATGGGGGCTAATATAGCTATAACTAATCAGGAAAGAGATCTTGGAGTCATCGTGGATAGTTCTCTGAAGACATCCACGCAGTGTGCAGCCGCAGTCAAAAAAACAAACAGGATGTTAGAAATCATTAAAAAAGGGATAGAGAGCATATTCTATTGCCCTTATATAAATCCATGGTACGCCCACATCTTGAATACTGTGTACAGATGTGGTCTCCTCATCTCAAAAAAGATATACTGGCATTAGAAAAGGTTCAGAGAAGGGCAACTAAAATGATTAGGGGTTTGGAACGGGTCCCATATGAGGAGAGATTAAAGAGGCTAGGACTTTTCAGTTTGGAAAAGAGGAGACTAAGGGGGGATATGATAGAGGTCTATAAAATCATGAGTGGTGTGGAGAAAGTGAATAAGGAAAAGTTATTTACTTGTTCCCATAATATAAGAACTAGGGCCACCAAATGAAATTAATGGGCAGCAGGTTTAAAACAAATAAATGGAAGTTCTTCTTCACACAGTGCACAGTCAACCTGTGGAACTCCTTGCCTGAGGAGGTTGTGAAGGCTAGGACTATAACAGGGTTTAAAAGAGAACTAGATACATTCATGGAGGTTAAGTCCATTAATGGCTATTAGCCAGGATGTGTAAGGAATGGTGTCCCTAGCCTCTGTTTGTCAGAGGGTGGAGATGGATGGCAGGAGAGAGATCACTTGATCATTGCCTGTTGGTCCACTCCCTCTGGGGCACCTGGCATTGACCACTGTCGGCAGACAGGATACTGGGCTGGATGGACCCTTGGTCTGACCCAGTATGGCCATTCTTATGTTCTTATGTACATTTGCAGGAGATAATGCTGCCTGCTTCTTGTTTACAGTGTCACCTGAAAGTGAGAACAAGCATTTGCATGGTACTGTTGTAGCTGGCATCACAAGATATTTACGTGCCCGATGTGCTAAAGATTAATATGTCCCTTCATGCTTCAACCGCCATTATAGAGGACATGCATCCATGCTGATGATGGGTTCTGCTTGATAACAATCCAAAGCGGTGTGGACTGACACACGTTCATTTTCATCATCTGAGTCAGATGCCACCAGCAGAAGGTTGATTTTCCTTTTTGGTGGTTCGGGTTCTGTAGTTTCCACATCGGAGTGTTGCTCTTTTAAGACTTATGTAAGCATGCTCCACACCTCGTCCCTCTTGGATTTTGGAAGGCACTTCCACCTTGGGTCGAGTGCTGTAGCTACCAAATCTCACATTGGTACCTTCTTTGTGTGTTGTCAAATCTGCAGTGAAAGTGTTCTTAAAACAAACGTGTGCTGGGTCATCATCTGAAACAGCTATGACATGAAATATATGGCAGAATGCATGTAAACACAGAGCCGGAGACATACAATTCTCCCCCAAGGAGTTCAGTCACAAATTTAATTAATGCTTTATTTTTTTAACGAGCATCATCAACATGAAGCATGTTCTCTGGAAAGATGGCTGAAGCATGAAGAGGCATACAAATTTTTAGCATTCTGGCATGTAAATATCTTGCAATGCCAGCTACAAAAGTATCATGTGAACGTCTGTTCTCACTTTCAGGTGACATTGTAAATAAGAAGTGGGCAGCATTATCTCCCATAAATGTAAACAAACTTGTTTGTTTGAGCGATTGGCTGAACAAGCAGTAGGACTGAGTGGACTTGTAGGTGCTAAAGTTTTACATTGTTTTATTTTTGAGTGCAGTTATGTAACAAAATATTCTACATTTGTATGTTGCACTTTCACAATTAAGAGATTGCACTACAGTGCTTGTATGAGGGGAATTGAAAAATATTATTTCTTTTGTTTATAATTTTTACAGTGCAAATATTTGTAATAAAAATATATATAAAATGAGCACTGTATACTTTGTATTCTGTGTTGTAACTGAAATCAATATATTTGAAAATGTAGAAAATGTCCAAAAATATTTAATACATTTCAATTGTTATTCTATTATTATTTAACAGTGTGATTAAAACTGTGATTAATCGTGATTAATTTTTCTGAGTTAATCACATGAGTTAACTGCGATAAATTGACAGCCTTAGGGAAAAAAATCTCCTTCTTGGACTCCTGGCACAGACTGCTGAATGCTGGAGTTCACCGTGCATGGCAGAGGCCCTCTTCTCCCACTATACTATGCAAACATCTCCTACTAAAACCCTGCAGTAGAACACAGCCCTGAGTTTTGCTCTTATCTATGCAAGTGCCTCTTCTCTGTAACTGCACTGGCCTTTCTCCACCATTAATTCTTTTGTTATGCAGTTTCCCCTCTCTTGGTTTAACGCTTGTCT